ATTATTATTTCTTAGAAAAAATGTTAGATTATGTAAACCAGAACTATCCAGCTGTCCAATTTATGGGCCACGTACCACAAGCAGTATGTGTGGCCCGCAACATATTTTTAATCCCTCACATTCTTTGATATATTTTAGTAAAATTACAACATTTTATTTTATGGTATCAGAGAAAAGAAAATTCAAATAAATAAATTAATAAAATTAAACTTAACATTATCACCGTTTCTGGAGCTCTCCAGACTATACAATGGCTTGTAGTGGCCGGCGATCATATCTGGACAGTCCTGATGTAAACTATTATTTATACCACCTTAATATAAAAGTTGCAGGAATTTATTTATTTTATTGTTTAAAAGTTTAGTCTTTATATGGTAATTTATATTATCCTCTTCAAAGTACTTTCTATTAACTAAAGACTGCTTATGCCAGCGCTGGATTCATTTTTTATAATCGAATTTTTGTGTAGCAATCAGAGCCATAAGCGGTGTTTTATCTCTTATTAAATTATTATCTCCTCTGAGTGGTGTCTCAACTTATTCAAACATAAAGAAATCGCAAAAAGGCAAATAGGGCAAATACAGTGGCAGAATAATAATGTCTGCAGAAGAGTTATTATTATGTACAACCCATATTTTTGTTTAGTGAATCAGTTCAAGTAAATACTTAATAACGATAAAATAATAATCATTGTTTGCTCTACAAAAATTTATGATATCCAACACTGTTGTAATCCATGAAAATCTTGGGGATGATTTTCTTTTCCGACTTTGTACCATAGTTTTTTTCGTTCTTTATTTATCAAATTAACACCCTTCATTCGCCTAAAGACTGGATTACATATCATACTCTTAATATCACGTCTACTTTTCAATAATTATGCGTTTGATGAATATTGAATCAGATTAAACCGTTGGAATTATACATGTCGTAGTCTCTTTTTTGTATACAGCTAAGATCTTTATTCACCAGCTTTGTAGCGACAACTCTCAGCCTCAAATCTTTAACCAAAATACTTTAAATAGATTCATAATCAATTTTTAAGTCCTTTACCAGTTCTCTGATGGTCAATTAGCGGTTTTCGGTTAATATTTCTTTAATTATATCAATGCTTTTAACGGTCTTCAATGTTGATCAGTTTTACAAGTAACATACAAACGTTCAACGTCTCTATGCTCTTCGGATCAGTAAATCCGGTTTTTAAACAACATTTAAGGCGAACTCATTATTGCAGAGTTAAATCCATTTTTAGAACAGTAAAAAATCAAAAATACATTCGAATAACAGATGTATTATTCCTATCGTCACTTTTACAAAAGTCAAGCTATAGCGCTAATTTTTAGACCGAAAGTTAATGCCAAATGTGGCAACCTCTATGGAAAAGCGTTATCTGTAAAGAATTCCTTTCTTTCTTCAGCGGATGACAACAGGAACAATAATTATTCCCGATTAAGATAATTGTAGACTTGAAAATTTTTTGTGTGAAAAATGAAAACTTGGAAATAGTTGTAGAGACCAAGTTTTTTGTAAATTATAAGTTGACATTTTAGATAAAATGGGTCGACCAGGTGATGTGATACTTAAAAACAAATAAATAAAAATTATTTAGATGGAGTGTGCTTATGAACTTTTTTATCACATTTTTGTATAGTCTAAACTGAATCTTTTGTGAAACTACTAGAATAACAACTAGATAAACTGCTATAGCTTAAACATGCCGTCTACATTTAGTGATCAAATATAAAAAAAATTGATGATTGATGCATTATGATACGAACGAAGACCAAGACTTCGAAGATATGTTTGATACTCTTAAAGTAGGTACAATTTTAAATTACACTGCGAGAAATTATTCTTCTATATTAACGAAGAATAGTGAGTAAAGTTTAACTCAAATATTATTATCATGATATTGGCATATCATTTTTCTTATGTGTTGTATAGGGGAGATGTCTACGGATCCTCCAGAGTGAAGAGTAGAAAATGCCTTTAATATGTTTATATATATATATTACAATATATATATTACAATATATAGCATAAAAGTTTCATGTAGTCAAAAGTAATCTGCTGTATTGAGAGCTAAAATCTGAATCAATTTCTCTTCTTTATAATAAAAATACTATATGGATTCATATATATTTTTTAAGTCGGTCTTAATTCAGATTTTTTCATTAATTTACTTCCGCAAAATTTGACCACAAGTAAATTACAATCAAAGAGACCACAGCATACAATTGTCATTTAAGTTCTTCTTATTCCATAGAGGTTATTTATGAGACTCAAGCAAATTAGGCGTAAAATATGCATTAATATAAAATATTAAATTTTAAAAACATTTTATGATAACTGCAAAAAGAAAAATATACAATATGAATATAAGCATAATAAAAAAATTGTTATAAAATAAGCGGAATAAAAACCAGAACTTCTAAAAATTATTGCCATAATAATGAGAATAAACTGCACGTAAAAATGAAATGTATCTTTGATGAAGTGGAGCGTTTGCTGGCATGGAAAAATCTCACGTGCGACATGCCAGGGATGAAGTTGAGAATGCTATGATAACGCTTGGATGAATAGAGCATTAAGTCGCTCTAAGCTGAATTAAAAAAGGGACAATAACTTTTAACTTTATTTGCAGAAATAAATAAGATTTTTTTATTGCAAAAGATTTGCCTTTTTTAAAAGCTAATAAATTAAATTTTAATACCTGAAAGCAGTCAAGAGATAAAATTACAGATTGTACTTGTAATTGCATGTAATTTGTAGATTTTATTAGGTAGTCAAAACACACAAATCCAACCTAAAGCTTTTATTAACAAAATTTAATTATACAAGCTAATTCAAGTAGTGTATTTACATCACTATTTGTATAATAAGTCGAAATCTTTTATTTATTTCCGGTATAATATTCGACTAGACTAGATTTTAAAATAGAGATAGATAAGTGAGTAGTTTTAAAGGAATTAAAAAAAAATGTATAATAAACTTATTTAAGATTCTACATAAGAGAGCATCCTTCCTAACTTTCCAAACGAACTTTAAATTAGAATTAACCATTTTTTAATATCGGCTAGGTTAAAATTTTATACGGTTAAGATTCATTTTAACGCCCTGTTTTTAATACATAATTTAAGACTTCTATAGAATATTAGATTTTAGTTTCACATATAATAAGCACCTTCATAAAAGCTGATAGCATAAAAGTAAATGTCCCACAATCTATGACAAAATCCACGGTCATATTAAACGATTTTCATATAATTCCTGATAATATAATATACAAAGCAACTATGGACTATTGCAGGAAAATTTGAAGACTTAAAAGTTTCCAGAAACTGACCTGTTGCCTTACAAGTAAACTTGAGTGTACTGATTATATTGCTGGACTACTCTCTAGGGGGTATTTCTGCTTTAGAATTGCCACTGGGATTAACTAAAGCCTTCTACATTTAAATCAACCTTAAAAACTAATATCGAGCACACTATGAGTAAAATACAGCCTCAAATGTTTAACGGAATACTATATCTGTATGATAATGAACCTCAGATACTGCCCTAACAGCAGTGTCTGTTAGATAATTTGTCATCAGCACTGACATAACATTACCCACCTCATAAGAACTATAAACTTAGTTCATTTACGTGGTGTACGCTTTTAGTTTAAAATTCTATATCTCCCAATTAACAGCCCTTGTATTCATAACTTAGAAAATATCTTAGAAAATAAAATATTATATGAAAAGAATATATTCTTTTATATGCTTATATATGTTTATATATATGTTTATAATGTTAATGAGAAAGACTTATAATATGAACTTGCAGAAGAGTTAAGGTATTGTATCTCATAAGTTCTAGTAGGTAACATAAAAAAACTGATTTGCTTAAGGAAATGAGTACAGAAGTAATTATAATAAATAAGATGTCATCACCTCGAATTGAAATAGCGAACCTTAAGTAGTTAAAAAACATATATAAAAATATGAAACATATTGTTAAAAATAGAAATAATGATAGAAGAAACAATAAAGAAAGAAAGTTGAAATACTGAAAGAAAATACAAAAGAGAGCTAGAGTTAAAAAAAATTGAATGTAATTGAATACAAAACAACGTCTCCACCTACTTCAACTAATCAGTATGATTCAAAAATATCACTATAATAAAAATATTATTAAATTGAAAATTGGAACCACTTATTATAGTGTTTTTTCGCAAGCGTAGTGATATTTAAAAAAACAACAACAAAGAACAATTTAAAAATAATGTGTAGTTTTTTTATTTATTATTAAGTAATTTTAGTTTAAGTACCAATTGACTATTCTAGCAATGCGGTGAAAGCTTTCATCTTTTACTTTACATTATTTTACTCTTACTACTCTTACTACCACAGCACATTCAGCTCAAAATATCATAATTCAGTTGCAATCATTTATGACGACATCTGATCTAACATACAACAGGATATAATGACCGTTCTTAAAGTCAAATTTGGTTTACCTTGTAAGCCTTGTACAGCGACAACGATATATTGATAC